TTACATATATTTATATATGCTAAGGAATAGATAGGACATCAACATTATACGTCTCTAGACAAAAGAGATGCTGTGTTATCTCCTATTTGATAAAATGAAAGGAGAAAAATGAGTATTGGATTTTTGTTGATCTTATATAACCCTTTTTGCTATTTATATATAAGATAGTAGTTCCATTTTATTTTAAGGTTAGGTTTAGTAGTTATAAGCTTTCAGTCCATGCTTCAATGAAAAATTACATAATGTAATAATTTTATATGTTATATCTCCAAGGACCAATGGCATTGGGAAGTCATGAATGTATTATAAGCATTTCGTATCCTCAATCCTGAGGATCAGTGAAGTGGGGACGTCATGAATATACTAGAGTTAAAATTCAAACGTGTTTCACACTCAACACTCGCATTATCAAAATAATATTTTATAAACGGCTCTTTTTAGATTGGATAAGTTAATTGATAAACATTTCTTTTAATACAAATGTCATTTTTGTTAAAATGTTCAAGTACTGTATGGCCTGTGGAATCTCCTGAATTTACGCTACTAATGTGGACTTTATAAGAACAACGTTCCATGTCCTGTGCTGCCCTCCATCGTCGATCAGGCATATTGTGATGATTATTATCACGCATTACGACACAGCAATTTCCATTGTGATTAGCTTCTGTGAAAGATGGCTAACTCAATTTTAGACCACACTACTTGAGAAGCTTTCTACATCCACTTCACTGTACGTGGACTTTGCCTTCCAATACCACACTTAAGTAAACCAAAGGCCATTGGAGTTGCACTGACGGACCCGACAGGGTTTCTAATGGAATTTCTCTGATAGCAATTCTTTTAGCCATTTTTCTCGTGAAACCAATAATTGATTCAGAAGTTTATGCTATTGTAACGGTACCACGAGAGATGCTCAGCGTTACCACAATGATTTGTTTTTTCTTTTTTCGTTGGAAGGTTCTTCTCCATACCCTTCAATTTCTTGATGAGGAAATCGCTGTGGATTAACTTTAACATTTGGGTCAACTCGAACATTTATACATAAGTGTGGGTGTACGTATATATATACATATATGTTTGTATGTATGTGTGTGTGTGCATATATGTATGTGTGATTGTGTACTTGTATATATGTGTGTGCATATATATATGTGTGAGTGTGTACTTGTATATGTGTACAGATAATTATGTAATTGTATATATATATATATATGTTTGTGTGTGTGTTTGTGCACTTGTTAAGATCATCTTGAATTGTAATATATGTTTTGGTTTTATACTTGTTGTTATTACTTTGTGCAGGAATATGACATACGTAGCAGTTCTCACGGTATCATCCAGTTCATCGTTTTGTTGAATCTGTTTTACCTAAATTAATTTGGATGAGTTATACAGTGTTTATTTATACACTTACAACGAACTGTCAGTATTCGGTTGGTATTTACAGTATTCTGAAATTATTAACAATTGTGTGAGATTATGTTACTATAACAAGTAAATTACCTTCTTTAGAACAATGTGAGATTCTGTTGTGAAAATAAGTAAATT